TATATATATATATATATTTGTGTGTGTGTGTGTGTGTCCGCGCGCTATATTTACATAAAGCCAATAAAGATAGTGTAGAAATTAAATTATTAAGTAATTTTTATGAGATATACTATATAAGTTGGATGATATACACGGGTCAATTTTAAACTGTTTAGCGGTAGGGTTCCAAATATAAGTCTATCATAATGTTTAGTTTGTTGATTGAATTACTTCATAAATATAAATAGACACATTTGATTTTATGTGTCTGCGCGCATGCTATAACTACACAGAGCCAATAAAGATAGTTTATAAATTAAATTATTAAGTAATTTTAATGAGAAATACTAGATAAGTTGGAATGTCGATTTTAAACTGTTTAGTTGTAGGGTTCCAATTATAAGCCTATCATAATGTTTAGTTTGCAAATTGAATTAAGGCCGAAATGGGAACTCAAGTTCAAAAAATACCCAATTAAATTCTCTTAAGGCCAATATCTTATGGTGATTCAAAGATGGGCAATCATATTTCTATACTATAGCAAAATTTACAATTAAGTTTGATATAACATATTTTCTTAATGTGTGCACTGAGTATTGCTACTATTGACATTATATGATTAAAAAGAATGACTTTTTTTGGCATAAAATTCATGTTGTAAATAACATTTTAGATAAAAAAAACATTTTATTTCAAGCTAATGCATTGAAAAAAATTCAATTCTATATGTATGATAATATGAATTAAAAAATAATGAAATAAAACATATGGGCATGTTGAAAGAAATAGTTGCACTTTTATGATATTAGCAAGAAACATTAAGGTACGCGCATTTAAAATAAAAAATAATAATAATAATAGATGTACCCTATGTCGTATAAAATTTAATGAAGCTTTCGTGTCAGTAAAAAGTGTATTTATTAAGATAAAATATAATATGATAATAGTTTTGACATTCATAAAGATCACCAAGCTTAAATGAAATTTCCTTATAAATGAAAGTTATTTTTGTTCTTCATGAATTGATTACAAATATTTATAATAAAATTGACAGGATTAAACATTCAAATAACATCTTCTCTAAAATGCATTCACAGAGTAACACAGTAGGATAGTCTGGGATGTCACTCTAGGATGTCACTGAGGTTTTTCCTCAGGATCTATGACATCCTCTACCTGTTCCTTCCTTTGGACTCCTGAAATAACTGTTCATATTTGAGTCACTTCCATTTGTCTTTTCACGTCCTACCGTGAGAAATTAAACTTTGAAATCTTGAAGACTAGAACCACTGATCATTATCGAGAGTTTTCTCAAGAGAGTTTTCTCAAGTGAGATGTAATTAACTATAGGGG